TAACGAGCATATCTATCACAAGGCTATAAGTAGCAAGACCTAAGAAGAAAAGAAGAAGAAGAGAAGCAACAAGCAATAAGCCAAAACAAGTGTCAAAACAATCTTACCTCTCTTCTTGTGCAAAAGTTGAATATCCATGTAAAACTAAGATAGTTTATCTTAGTGAGTGTAGAAATCATTTTATCCTCTCTGTGAGAGTTACATATACACTTTAAACACATTCTTGTAAAACTAGGGTTGAAAACCTTAGTGAGTGTTGAAACCATTTCATTCTCTCTGTGAGAGTTACAAACACACTCAAAACAACTATTGTCTATAAAGCCTGAAAAGGATAACAAAAGAATACTTGTAGAACTAGAAGTGGTTTAAGAATACTAGCGTCAGCAAGTGAAGTTAACGAACCAAGAGTGGTTGAGAATACCTGGCCAACTAGAAGTGGTTTAAGAATATTAGCGTTAGCAAGTGAAGTTGAAGAGCTAGGAGTGGTTCAGAATACTTGGGCAACCAGAAGTGGTTTAAGAATACTAGCATCAGCAAGTGAGGTTGATGAACCAGAAGAGGTTAAAAATACTTGTAATCCGTTGTGATTAGTGGAACCCTTCAGTTGAAGAAGACTGGACGTAGCTCAAAACGAGTGAACTAGTATAAAAACTATGTTCATTGTCTTTTGATTTAGAAACGCTGCTTTACTCACATAGACTTATCACTCTGAAAAACTTCGTCTACTACTGTCTATTTTCTAAACATTATTTAGATGAACTTATATTTGTTTGACTAAGAAAACCATTTTCGAATAGACGATAGATCTTCAGACGCAAAGTTTTTTTAACCAATCTTGCAATTTCCTTACGTAATTGAAATAGTATTTTCTGACGGAAAGTAGCACCTTTGCGAAAACGTTTTTTAAAATCCTTCGTTCACACACATTCAACCCCCCTTTTGTGTGTTTTCCACTAAACTTCAATAAAGATACGAATTGCTTTAGGTTCTTGCGTGTAAAGTTATATCCTTTCTTAAAAATTGTCATACTCTTTAAATTACGCTTATTTCTTCGATAAAGATTCAATCTATCACTATATTTTGGAAAGTGTAATTAAAATAATTATAGTTTATGTTTTAGTAAGCACTGATTTAAATATCATTGCATTTATACATATTTTTCAGAAATTTTGTTATTAAATTTTTTCATAGAAATTACCATATTTAAATAAATTAAATGTGGAAAATTCAAATATACTAATAATATGATTTTGGGTGTCACACCTCTCACTCAACCTGCTAGCAATTTGATCGCATCCAACTTAGAGCTCCTACTACTCATCATGATTCTTGTAAAATACCTAGTCAAAATCAATATGGTTATATGCTAAGAAAGAAATCTTACCTAACAAGTCATGCTCAATTTGAGTAGACTCAAGTAACTCGACAAGGTGTTGAGTATGGAGCTCCCAAGGGATTTGATTAAAAAATCTACGACCAATCTCTCTTTAGCTGATAGGTTGGTCACATCAAAAGCTTTGTAGCACTTCAATGTTTAAGTCTAATGAAAGGGAAATAATCCTTTGCCTCTATCATCGCAAAAGCACTTTCAACCATTCAATCGAATCAACATCTTGAAATATCTAACTTTAAAGTTCTTATAGGACGACACATACACCCTTAGCAAGAACCACTTTGAAATTCTTGATAGTGATACCCACATAGTCTTCATGCTCAAATAACAAGTATAAAAGTGATAGAACGCTAGAGGTGTCAACCATATGGTACAACATGCATAATTTACGAAATGTTTGCATAACAGCCCAACTGTTTGAATGCAGTTGGGTCGGTGCCACATTCAACATGCATAGAACCCCCATTTGGAAGTTTTCAAAGGGTAACTGTAGACCCCTAAAATTGTCCGGGTCGGAAAT